ATCTCTGCTAAAAATACAAAAATTAGCCAGGTGTGGTGGCGGGCGCCTGTAATTTCAGCTACTGGGGAGGCTGAGGCAGGAGAATTGCTTGAACATGGGAGGCGGAGGCTGCCAGTGCTCATTTATTTTTACATAAACACACTCTTTGAGGTTGAAGCAAATCTGACTGATTTTCAATGTGAAACTAATATATAAAAACTGTACTTGGAGTTATTTCTAAACAGAACTAACATCAGAATCATCTATTTTGGAAAAATCTGATTCATCAGATGAATCTTCAGCTAACAACTGTTGGAGAACAGTGTTAACGAAATGCATAGGAATGCTACATTTTCTACGATTTGACATTTTCAGCAATCAAGAATTAATTTTTTCTGTCAATGGAAATGCCAACACTAAAAACGGAATGCTATAAATAGAATGATGTCTTTCATTTCCAAAGTCGATATACTAGAACGATGCAAAAATAATAAAAGCGAGATATTTCATAGCAAAGTTATCTTGGGGTAAATGCTGCAGCCACAAGCACCACCAGCGTATTCTCAGGGCAAAGATACCAGTAACCTGCTTGTTGATTTAAAGGTCCAGCACCCCCCGTCTCTACTAAAAAATACAAAAAACTAGCCGGGTGAGGTGGCGGGCACCTGTAGTCCCAGCTACTTGGGAGTCTGAGGCAGGAGAATGGCGTAAACCCGGGAGACGGAGCTTGCAGTGAGCTGAGATCCGGCCACTGCACTCCAGCCTGGGCGACAGAGCGAGACTCCGTCTCAAAAAATAAAATAAAATAAAATAAAATAAAATAAAATAAAATAAAATAAAGGTCCAGCACCTTCTCTCTGAAGCCCAAGAATGACTTGAGGACAAGGAAGCCATGTTTTTGCTCAATTCCAGGCTGAAGTTACAGGTCTGAGGAAAGAACAAGGTGCATATAAATGGAACCCATGTCTTGAAGGACATCAGAAAAGGAACTTTCTTTTTTTTTTTTTTTTTTTTGAGACGGAGTCTCACGCTGTTGCCCAGGCTGGAGTGCAGTGGCGCGATCTCGGCTCACTTCAAGCTCCGCCTCCTGGGTTCACGCCATTCTCCTGCCTCAGCCTCCTGAGTAGCTGGGACTACAGGCGCCCGCCACCGCGCCCGGCTAATTTTTTTTGTATTTTTAGTAGAGACGGGGTTTCACTGTGGTCTCGATCTCCTGACCTTGTGATCCGCCCGCCTCGGCCTCCCAAAGTGCTGGGATTACAGGCTTGAGCCACCGCGCCCGGCCAGAAAAGGAACTTTCAAGTCCTTTCTTGTACAACCTAACTGTTCAAGTTAGCGCACCATCATTTTAGTCTTCCTAATGGAGCTGCTTTTTTTTTTTTTTTTTTTTTGAGATGGAGTCTCGCCCTTATTGCCCAGGCTGGAGTGCAATGGCATGATCTCAGCTTGCCACAACCTCCACCTCCTGGGTTCAAGCAATTGTCCTGCCTCAGCCTCCCCAGTAGCTGAGATTACAGGTGCCCGCCACCACACCTGGCTAATTTTTGTATTTTTAGTAGAGACAGGGTTTCACCAAGTTGGGCAACTTGGTATGGCAGTTTGCCTAATGCTGGATTTCCTAGCCCAAGGAAGCATCATTCAAAGAGCCAAATTTATCAGCATACTTGAAGGAATTTTCTTGCCAGATACACCCCACTGAGGGAAACTTGAATGAATAGCTTGCTGGGGTTGGATTTTATTTATTTATTTATTTATTTATTTATTTGAGTCGGAGTCTCGCTCTGTCACCCAGGCTGGAGTGCAATGGCGCTATCTTCAGCTCACTGCAACCTCCACCTCCCGGGTTCAAGCAATTCTCTTGCCTCAGCCTCCTGAGTAGCTGAGATTACAGGCGCCCGCCACCGTGCCCAGCTAATTTTTGTATTTTTATTAGAGACGGGGTTTCACCATATTGGCCAGGCTGGTCTCTTGGCCAGGCTGGTCTCGAACTCCTGACCTCGTGATCCGACTGCCTTGGCCTCTTGGCCTCCCGGCCTCCCAAAGTGCTGGGATTACAGGCGTGAGCCACCGCACCCAGCCTTATTTATGTATTAATTTAGAGATAGAGTCTCGCTCTGTCACCCAGGCTGCAGTGCAGTGGTGCAATCTCGGCTCACGGCAACCTCCGCCTCCCAGGTTAAAGTGATTCTCCTGTCTCAGCCTCCAAAGTATCTGGTATTACAGGCGTGTACTACCATGCCCAGCTAATTTTTGTATTTTTAGTAGAGACAAGGTTTCACCATGTTGGCCAGGCTGGTACTGAACTCCTGACCTCAGGGGATTCACCTGCCTCAGCCTCCCAAAGTGCTGAGATTACAGGTGTGAGCCACCACGCCCAGCCCCTATTTTATTTTTTTGAGACAGGGCCTTGCTCTGCCGCCCAGGCTGGAGTGCAGTGGTGTGATTGTTGCTCACTGCAGCCTTGACCTGCTGGCCTCAAGTGATCCTCCCAAATCAGCCTCCCAAATATCTGGGACCACAGGTGTGCACCACCACATGCTGCTAATTTTTGTATTTTTGGTAGCAATAAGGTTTTCCTGCGTAGTCCAGGCTGGTCTCGAACTCCTGGGCTCAAGTGATACTCCCGCCTGGGCCTTCCAAAGTGCTGGGATTGCAGGCGTGTGCCACCGCACCCGGCCGTGTATTACTTTTTTTTTTCCTCACTGCAAGCTCCGCCTCCCGGATTTACGCCACTCTCCTGCCTCAGCCTCCCAAGCAACTGGGACTACAGGTGCCCGCCACCTTGCCCGGCTAGTTTTTTTTGTATTTTTTAGTAGAGACGGGGTTTCACTGTGGTCTCGATCTCCTGACCTTGTGATCCGCCCGCCTCGGCCTCCCAAAGTGCTGGGATTACAAGCTTGAGCCACCGCACCCGGCCCGTGTATTACTTTTATGGGTTCATATATATGTCCATATAAATATAAATATTTAAAGAAATATTCTTTAAAAAATTCTATCAGGCCGGGCGCGGTGGCTCAAGCCTGTAATCCCAGCACTTTGGGAGGCCGAGGCGGGCGGATCACAAGGTCAGGAGATCGAGACCACAGTGAAACCCCGTCTCTACTAAAAATACAAAAAATTAGCCGGGCACGGTGGCGGGCGCCTGTAGTCCTAGCTACTCAGGAGGCTGAGGCAGGAGAATGGCGTGAACCCAGGAGGCGGAGCTTGCAGTGAGCCGAGATCGCGCCACTGCACTCCAGCCTGGGCAACAGCGTGAGACTCCGTCTCAAAAAAAAAATAAATAAATAAATAAATAAATAAATAAATAAATAATAAAAAATTCTATCAATAGATATTTCTTCTTTTCTTTTATTTTCTTTCTTTCTTTTTTTTTTCGGAGACAGAGTCTCACTCTGTTGTCCAGGCTGTAGTGCAGTGGCGTGATCTTGGCTCACTGTAACCCCTGCCCTGTCTCCCAGGTTCAAGTGATTCTTCCCAATGCTCAGGGGGACTCATTAAAGCAACCTTTCATAATTGCCTGTTCTGAGCAACACGTAAACATTGTCCTTGAAGAACTACCGCATGGCAGCCGCCCTGGGCCTGGCTGGCAGCTCAAGGATGTGAGTAACCTGGAACTTCTTCGACTGGGCCCCCCCTGGGGAGGGCATGGAGCCCAAGATTTGGTACCATAATTACTTGCGAGGCTTTCAAATTCCATGACAAAACGCAAATGCAAAGCCCTGGCTCCAGCAGCAGGCAGCTGAAAGGGATTACCTTGACCCTGTTGCGTGCTCCAGTATAGGAACTGCTGGATTCTAACCAGGGCTCTCCCATGCCCGGCTCTATAAACTTTCTCTATATTTTGCATTGTTTCCCTGAGGGTAGGAGATTCCCGTAAGTTGGGTCAAAGGGCAGGGAGTTTTCCGTGGTTCTCATTCGGCCCTGCTGCTGCCTTCCAGACGGATCAGCTGCCAGGGTGGCCCCGGCCATGTCAGCGCAGTAGGCGGTCAGGGCGCAGTTGGGGCAGCCGGCAGGGCAGAAGGGACGGGAGCTTGACCCGGGTTCTGATGGGCAGAGGGAGCCCGGGCAGGGGTGGGGGCAGCGTGCGGGCAGGCGAGGAGGGGAGAGAGCCAGGCAGTCAGGCAGAATTGAAGTGACTGGAGAAAAGCCGAAGGGCCGTGTCTGCCTGAGGCTGGAGACCACCCCAGGTCCACACAGTCCGCTGGGTGCCGGCACCGCTTGGAGCCGCAGGGAAAGCCAAGCACCGCTCTTTCTAGAGCCTTCTTTTTTTCCTATTGTTAGGGAATTCACGACGTCACACTTGTTTTCAAGTGAAAAGAGTTGTGTAGGCCACGAAAATCACGTGACTTGAAAGCTGACCCTGAGAGGCCTCAAAATAAATTCTGGTTTGCTGTGAAAGCCTCGGGTTATAGCGCTAAACTCCCCCCTCCACTGCCCCCCGAAAGTTTTATTCTCCTCTGCTTTTAGGGTGGGGTGTGGCGTAAACAACAGCTTGAGCAGCTCTGAGGGGGAGGGTGTTAGAGATCAGGCAGGTGGAGAAGGCAAGAGTTTTCAAGGATGTCGAAATAGTTTGAGGCGCCCCGTCCCATTATAAAAGTGATACGAGAGACAGCAAGAACGTGCTTCTGGACAGAAAACAGACTCTAAGGAAAGGTAGCCAGAGGTTCACGCTGGATCCTGCGGTCTTCCCTGTCTGCGCCTCTGTGCCTCTCTTGCCCTTACAAGGCGCATGGATCAACTTTGGAACAGGTTCTAATTCCGCCCCAGATCCATCTGCGTCTTCCCACGCCTCTGACCTCAGGGCGCAAGCGCAGCCCCAGCCCTCCAAGCCTAGGTAGGCAGGGTTCTCCCATCCGAGAAAGGGCCGAGGGGAGGCTTCCAGGGCGGAACCGACGCGGCCCCTCCCACTCCGCGGGCGGTGGGTTCAGCCTGAACGTACTGCGGAGGCGGGGCCGACGAGGGATCCAGGGACCGGGCAGGTTCAGGCCCCTCCCATCAGGCGGCCAGGGCGAGCGGTAGAGGCGGGTCTGGAGGCGGGGCCTGCGTGGAGCCAGACGGCGCGGCTGCTACCGGGGGCGGGGCCGACGGGCTGTGGCCCCGCCCTTGGCCGCCATTGCCGGGCCTGCCTGGCCGCTCTGCGCAGCGACCTTGCCTCCTCTTGCCCGGCGGAGCGGGTCAGCGGGCCTGACAGGGAGCCTTCCTGACCGAGCCCACGTCTCCCCACGGCCAGACAAGTCTCCGGCCCGGCCCGCGTCGCCAGTCCCCAGGCTTGGAGGAACGGCCCGAGCCCAGGAGAACCACATCTACGTCCCAGCCCCGGAGGCTCCTGTGGGCAAGATCGTGAGCCAACGGGTTCCTGAGGCCCCTCCTGGCCAGGCAGGGTTTCTCCGCGCGTTTCCGAGGAGCCCTGCCTGGCCGGGCGGCTGGACAAACAGGTCGTAGCACCGATCGCGCCCGCCCCCAGCAGGGGTCCTGCACAGGCTTGTCCCTGACCCCCACCCAAACCCGTTCTTCCGCTTTCCCCCCAAACAGTGCACTTGCCGGCGGTCCCAACCCAGCAGGAGGAGAGTGGACATGAGGTTGGCAGGTGGGTGGCTTCCGCAGCGAACGGGAGGGAGTTGAAAAGGGCACCTGGATGGAGGCCCAGCGTCCCGACATCTGTGTCTGGAGAGGCGCGAGTGGACCACTGGGTTTGGTTTTGGAAATTTCGGAGGACTCTGTACAAACACTCATTCCTTGACCTTAAGCAAATCCTTTCACCTCTGAGGACATCAGCTCCCCGAGCTATGACAGGAGGATTAGTATAGTCAGTATCTCCCAATGCAGGTAGTAGACCAGCTGCTTTTTGGAAAATGAGTGGTGAGAGAGAGGAGGTGGGGAGTCCAGGTGGAGAGGCGTGATCTTAGAGGGGAAGTGACAAAAGTGGCTGTGGGCTTCGACATGAACCCGATGACAGCCCTACTGTCACCTGGACAACTAAGATGAAGATCCTTGGGGAGGGATAGGTTGGGGCGGGGTGGAGAGTGGAAAGAACTCAGGAATTGAACTTCAGACTTGCTAAGGTGGTAACTTTGTGGACATATCCAAGTGGAGCTGGCCAGTGAGGAACCAGCTGGCAGGGAGTGGTTTCAAGAGAGGCCACAGCTGGAACTAGAAAATAGGAAGTCATTGACACATGGTGGTTAATTAAAGAGCTGGGAGTAGATGACATCATCTAAAAAGACACTACAGGCTGGGCGCGGTGACTCACACCTGTAATCCCAGCAGTTTGGGAGGCCGAGGCGGGCAGATCACTTGAAGTCAGGAGTTTGAGACCAGCCTGGCCAACATGGTGAATCCCCATCTCTACTTAAAAAATACAAAAAAATGGCCGGGCGCGGTGGCTCAAGCCTGTAATCCCAGCACTTTGGGAGGCCGAGGCGGGCGGATCACGAGGTCAGGAGATCGAGACCATCCTGGCTGACACGGTGAAACCCCGTCTCTACTAAAAAATACAAAAAACTAGCCGGGCGAGGTGGCGGGCGCCTGTAGTCCCAGCTACTTGGGAGGCTGAGGCAGGAGAATGGCGTAAACCCGGGAGGCGGAGCTTGCAGTGAGCTGAGATCCGGCCACTGCACTCCAGCCCGGGCAACAGAGCGAGACTCCGTCTCAAAAAAAAAAAAAAGTTCAAGACCAGCCAACATGGTGAAACCCCATCTCTACTAAAAATACAAAAATTAGCCGGGCGTGTTGGCGGGTGCCTGTAATCCCAGCTGCTCGGGAGGCTGAGGCAGGAGAATCGCTTGAACCCAGGAGGCGAAGGTTGCAGTGAGCCGAGATTGTGCCATTGCATTCCAGCCTGGGGGACAAGAGCAAGACTCCATCTCAAAAAATTTAAAAAAAAAAAAGACACTACAGGTAGGGACCAGAAGGCAGCCTGAGATGGAAGCCTGGGAAAGTCCAGCTTTTAAGGGGAGGGTAGAGGAGACGATCTAACTAAGGAGAATGAGGAGTGTCCAGAGAGATCGGGTCGGGAGAGTGTGCTGTCCTGAAAGCCAGCAGAGAAGTGAGTGCTTCTGTGAGGAGGACATGGGCAGCCCACTGAGAGGTCAAGGAAGATGGGGGCTGACAGGTGACCAGGGGTGGTGACACCACAAAGGTCATCAGCGGCCTTGGCAACAAGCTGATTTGGTGGGGTGGTGGAAGCCAGGCCAGACTGGAGTAGGGTGGGAGGGAGTAGGAGGTGAGATGATGGAATGAGTATAGATGACTTTTGAGGGGGTTGACAGGGAAAAGAAAGGTTAGGGGAAAGAGGATGGGGATGTGGTTTTGAAGAAGAGTGTTTGCTTTCTTAACATTGGAGATGTTGAAAATACAGGAGAAAGAGCGAGCTAGAGAGAGTGATCACTATTACAAGAAATCAGAGAAGGCTGGGGAGCTTGCAATCCAGGTCCCAGCAGATGACGGAACTGTTTTTTTTGTTTGTTTGTTTTTTTTTGAGACAGTCTTGCTCTGTCATCAGGCTGGACTGCAGTGGCATGATCTTGGCTCACTTTAACCTCTGCCACCCAGGTTCAAGTGATTCTCCTGCCTCAGCCTCCTGAGTAGCTGCAATTACAGGCGCGCGCCACCATGCCCGGCTAATTTTTGTATTTTCAGTAGAGGCGGGGTTTCACCATGTTTTTCAGGCTGGTCTCGAACACCTGACCTCGTGATCTACCCGCCTCGGCCTCCCAAAGTGCTGGGATTACAGGCGTGAGCTACTGCGCCTGGCTGGGACTGATCTTAAAAGGGAGTAGGGGCCGGGCGCGGTGGCTCAAGCCTGTAATCCCAGCACTTTGGGAGGCCGAGACGGGCGGATCACGAGGTCAGGAGATCGAGACCATCCTGGCTAACAAGGTGAAACCCCGTCTCTACTAAAAATACAAAAAACTAGCCGGGCGCGGTGGCGGGCGTCTGTAGTCCCAGCTACTCGGGAGGCTGAGGCAGGAGAATGGCATGAACCCGGGAGGTGGAGCTTGCAGTGAGCTGAGATCCGGCCACTGCACTCCAGCCTGGGTGACAGAGTGAGACTCTGTCTCAAAAAAAAAAAAAAAAAAAAAAAAAAGGGAGTAGGGACCCTTCTCCCTCAACAGGAGGAAAGGAGGGGCAGGTGGGTACCCAAATATATTGGTGGTTTCAGAGGCAGGAAGTTGAGGGGGTTCTTGGAAAGAGGGATGGAGCCCTTCTCGAGCAGAGAGTCCCCTCTCAGACCCGCCAGGGAGAACCAAACCCAGCAGCCTTAGGATTTGAACTCAGTTTCCTCTTTCCACCTGCCAGGGAGCTCAAGTCTCCCTCTCAGGCCTGGTGGAAGGCAACAGCTCTCCACCTCTTTGTCCTCCATCTTCCCAAGTGGCAGGGGAGATCCAGTCATGCAAGGCTATGGGGTCATTCTGGAGTTCGCTGGTATCTGAGGTGACCCCACCCCGCATCTGTCCTGCCTGCAGGCCCTCTCCGCATTGTGGCCCTAGTCGTCAGTGTGGGTCTCACATGGATCGTGGTCAGCATCCTCCTGGGTGGGCCTGGCAGTGGCTTTCCTCGCATCCAGCAACTCTTCACCAGTGAGTGTGGGACCCCGCCTTATCCTTCTCTGGAGGCCACCAAGGTGGCCACATGGGCGTGTGGTTGAGGCTTGGGGTTGGGGGTTGACTTGGGTTTTCTATCTCATCCCTGGCAGGCTACCTTTGGCTGTCCCCAGTCTGTCTCCTGACATCAGGCACAGCCTCCCCCACCACCCAGTTGCTTCATCTAGGAAAGCCAATACCCGATCACTAGAATTCTGTGCCCAACTGGAGTCAGTAGGGCCAGAGTAAGGGGCAGGGAGCTTCCACTGAACATGGGGAGTGATGCCCGGGTTGCTCCCTGTAGGCTCTGAAATGGAGAGGGGACTCTACACCTTGTTGACTGGTAATAGGTCACCTAAGTACTTTTTTATTTGTTTGATTGAGACAGTGTCTCACTTTGTCTCCCAGGCTGGAGTGCAGTGGTGCGATCTCGGTTCACTGCAACCTCTACCTCCTGGGTTCAAGTGATTCTAGTGCCTCAGCCTCCCGAGTAGCTGAGACTACAGGTGTGCACCACCAAACCCGGCTAATTATTATTATTATTGTGTTTTTAGTAGAGATGGGTTTTCACCATGTTGCCCAGGCTGGTCTCAAACTCCTGGGCTCAAGCAATCTACCCGCCTCGGCCTCCAAAAGTGCTACAGGCATGAGCCACTATGCCCGGCCAGGTCATCTAAGTACTTTTTCTAATCCGTTTCCCCCTGTTCCTGGAGTAGGGAGTTTTTCATCTGAACATGACTTACACTTGAGCGGGAAGCATGCCAAGGTCAGCCTGGCTTAGCCCCCAGCCCCTGAGCCTGACTGCCTGTGTCTACACTTCACGGTGTAAGGAGGGCCAGGCTGCCCTGCCGCAGGCCCTGGGAGGCTCCACACTAACAGAAACCACTCTGTATCCACAGGTCCAGAGAGCTCGGTGACTGCAGGTAAGGCCCCTGTCACCTCCCTTCCCTTTGTGATGCCCCTGCCTGCTCCCAGTCCTGTAGGGCTTCTGTTTTCCATTTATTCCTCCCAAAACCAGCTATCGCGGTTCACGGGGGCTGCTCACCACTGGAAACCTAGAAACCGAGTGACTTCCTGCCTGAACGTGATAGTGGGCCGGCCTAGGATAGGTACTCCCACTTGCAAAAGGGCAACTTGGAAGGAAGAAAGAGGTCACCAGTCCCAAGCAAGCCCAAAGCCCAGCAGGGCAAAATTCATTTGGTTTCAAGGCCTGAGGGGAATCAGGAATCCTCTGTGACCTGAGATTCTTTTTTCTGGGCCTGCCAGAATGACCCCATGCTCTGAAACAGGAGACAGCCCCACCCTCGGGACCACCCTTCCGTCCCTTCATCTCATCTCCACCCCCTTCACTCCAGGTCAGCAGTGTTTCTGCTGGTATACGATTCTCAAGAGCCTTGTTGGTCAAGCTATAAAGCCAGAGTTTTCCTACAGACGCTTCCTAGATAACCCCATCTTCATTGCAGATTTCTGCTGAAAGGGTTGAGTGGACCCACAAGTCACATACCTCAGCTCTGGGACAAACGCTTGAACAGCCTTGCTCTTCTCTCCAGGGGACACTTTTGCAGTTTTTGTAACATGATTAGGCCGAGAATTTTCCACATCTTTGCTTTCTGGCTCCTTTGTGCTCAACAGTTTCTTCCTCATGTCTCTCCTCTTACATTTTACTATAAGCAGCAAGGAGAAGTCAGGCTATGCTTTCAACACTTTGCTTGGAAATCTCCTCAGCTGAATATCCAAGTTCAGCACTCAGCACTTACACATTCTCCTTTCCACAAAACACTAGAACACATTCAACCAAGGTCTTTTTTCTTTTTTTTTTGAGACGGAGTCTTGCTCTGTCACCCAGGCTGGAGTGCAGTAGAGGAATCCTGGCTCACTGCAACCTCTGCCTCCCGGGTTCAAGCTGTTCTCCCACCTCAGCCTCCTGATTAGCTGGGATTACAGGCACCTGCCACCACACCCAACTAATTTTCGTATTTAGTAGAAATGAGGTTTCACCATGTTAGTCAGGCTGGTCTCAAACTCCTGACCTCAAGTGATCCTCCCACCTCAGCCTCCCAAAGTGCTGGGATTATAGGTGTGAGCCATCACGCCTGGGCCAAGTTCCTTTATAACAAGCATCAGCTTTCCTCCAGTGCCCAATAATTGAAAAACATGTCCCTCATTTTCCTCTGAGGCTTAACCAAAAGCACCTTTTTTTTTCTTTTTCTTTTTTTGTAGAGACAGAGGTCTCGCTCTGTTGCCCAGGCTGGAGTGCAGTGATATCATCCCAGTGCACTGTAACCTCAAACTCCTGGGCTCAGGCGACCCTCTCACCTCAGTCTCCCAAGTAGCTGCGACTACAGGCCTGTGCTACCACACACAGCTAATGTTTTATTTTTTATTATTTATTTTTTGAATGTTTTGAGACAGGGTCTTGCTCTCTCACCCAGACTGGAGGGCAGTGGTGCAATCATAGCTCAAGTGATTCTCCTGCCTCAGCCTCCTGAGTAGCTGGGATTACAGGCATGCACCACCACAGCTAGCTTATTTTGTATTTTTTGTAGAGATGGGGTCTCACTATGTTGCCCAGGCTGGTCTTGATCACCTGGCCTCAAGTGATGCTCCTGCCTTGGCCTCCCAAGGTGCTGGGATCACATGCGTGAATCACCACACCCAACCCAAAAGCACCTTTAACATTCATGTTTCTAGCAACGTTCTGTTCATGATGATGTTTGTATTCTCTAAGACCACAGAGGCTGTGTCTATTGCTCTCCCCTCCTCTCACCAGAATTACCTTTAACATCCATACTCCTACCAACAGTCTCTTAAAGGCAATCCAGACCTTTTCTAACATGTACCTCAAACTTCTACAGCCTTGATGTGGTTTAAATGTTGTCTCCAAAACTCATGTTGAAATATGTCAATGTGTTGGTCTTGAGAGCAGGACCTTTTTGAGGTAGTTAGGTCATGAGGGCTCTGCCCTCATGAATGGATGAATGCCATTATTATGGGTAAGTTAATTACCTTGAAGTTCAGCCCCCTTTTTTTCTGTGTCTCATATGCTTGCTTCCGCCTTCCACCTTTCTGCCATGGGATGACCCTTACCAGATGCCAGCGCCATGCTTTTGGACTTCCCAGCCTCCAGAATCATGAGCCAAATGAATCTGTTGTCTTTATAAATTACCCAGTCTGTGGTATTCTGTTATGGCCACAGCAAATGGACTAAGACAGGCCTCTACTGACTACCCAGTTCCAAAGCCATTTCCACATTTTTAGGTATTTGTTACCTAAGCATGACACTTCCTGGTGCCAAAACCTGTATCCATTTCCTGGAACTGCCATTTCAACTGGGTGGCTTAAACAACAGAAATGGATTCTCTCCCCATTCTGAAAACCAGAAGTCTGAAATCAAGGTGTCACCAGGGCGGCACTCACTCTGAAAGTTCTACAGGAGGGTCCTTCTGACCTCCCCAGGTTCCAGTGGCCCCAGGCATACCTTGGCCTCTGGCTGTATCACTCCTGTCTCTTCCTCCAGTGTCCCATGGCTGTCTTCCCTCTGTGTGTCTTTGTCACTTCCGTTCTTTTTTTTTTTTTTTTTTTTTTTTTTGAGACGGAGTCTTGCTCTGTCGCCCGGGCTGGAGTGCAGTGGCCGAATCTCTCAGCTCACTGCAAGCTCCGCCTCCTAGGTTTAGGCCATTCTCCTGCCTCAGCCTCCTGAGTAGCTGGGACTACAGGCGCCTGCCACCTCGCCCGGCTAGTTTTTTGTATTTTTTAGTAGAGACGGGGTTTCACCGTGTCAGCCAGGATGGTCTCGATCTCCTGACCTCGTGATCCGCCCGCCTCGGCCTCCCAAAGTGCTGGGATTACAGGCTTGAGCCACCGCGCCCGGCCGACACTTCCGTTCTTACGAGGACATCAGTCATGTTGCATTAAGGCCCCACCTACTCCAATATGACCCCATCTGAATTCATTTCTCTGCAAAGGCCTATTTGCAAACATCACATTCTGAAGTACCAGAGATTAGAACTTCAACATATCTTGAGGGGACATAATTCAACCCATAAGGGAAGCCATCCTGCTGCAGTCCTCCCAACCAACCCCCATCAAAATCGGGAGACAGGCTGCACCCCCTGCCACACTACCCCCTGCCACACTGCCTTTGCTATGGTTGGCCTCATCCATGCAGCTAGGTCCCCAGCCTGACTTACTTCACCCCTGCTTTGTTCCTGGCTGTGCAGTGGCCCAGGCCAGCCCTCAGCATCCTTTCTTTTCTCCCACCAGTAACAGAAAATCCTTCTGTCTTGGGTCCCTGTGGCCTCACCAGTAGGACATAGAGTATGGAAGTGTCCCCAGCCTTGGCCTGAGCCACATCCCCCTATTTGTTCCCTGCTCTGCGGTCACTTGTTCTACCATGTGTGCTGGTCCTGACCTCCCCTTCAGATCTCAGGTGACCTCAGGGCCAGGCCCATGGGTAACACCTGCTATCCCTGCCCAGCGCCACGGGCCAGGAGGTACAAGTGCGGCCTGCCCCAGCCATGTCCTGAGGAGCACCTGGCCTTCCGTGTGGTCAGCGGGGCCGCCAACGTCATTGGGCCCAAGATCTGCCTTGAGGACAAGATGTGAGCTCCCTGGGGTGAATGGGGATCAGGGAGGGAGTGGGGGATCCAGGGCCGGGTCTGCAAGGGAGAGTGGAGCAGATGTGCCCATGTGGGATCTCCCCATCCCCCGCCCCTAACTAGGCTGATGAGCAGTGTCAAGGACAACGTGGGCCGTGGGCTGAACATCGCCCTGGTGAACGGTGAGGCCCCTGGCTGAGTGTGGCCTGCCGCCCTCCTTCCCTGCTCCCTCCCCAGGAGACCTCTGGGTGTTTGCCCTCCCTTCCCCTCCCCTTCAGGATCTCCCAGGGAGGCCCAGGAAGGAGTCTGTGCAAAGCCGAAGGCTCCACAGAGGAGTGACCCAATGAACAAAAAGGCACGATGGCAAAAAATAAAGCACTGGGGAGGGTTCTGGGAGGTCGAGGGTGCTTCATGGAACCCCCAGAGGGCCTCAAATGCCAGACAGAGGCACCATGGCTTGGGGTGGGATGCAGCTGCCTGAACAAATGAATGAATATTGGGGGACCGTTTGAAAGCTTCCAGAAGGGCTGCCCCCCCGTTGCTGCCCGCCTGCCGTGCCCTGAGGCTGGCCTGGCTCACCCAGCAGGGCCCTCCCTCCTGACACAGGGGTCAGCGGCGAGCTCATCGAGGCCCGGGCCTTTGACATGTGGGCCGGAGGTGAGTTATAGCGCAGCATCTTGCATTTTGACTGCAGCAAAATGACCTGGGCAGCTTCCCCTGAGACACTGCTCTCTCTCTCTGTCTGTACTTGGGGCTTCTCAGTCACCTCCTTGGTTTCGGAAATGACAGGGGCATCACCAGCTTGGTTTAGAGGCTGTGGGAGGTCATGGGGATGCCTCAGCTTCCTATACCAGTCTGTCCCTTGGTGGGGCATGTCCCAGGGCAATCCCTACTTCTGTTTCCTTGTTTGGAGAACAGGGGCTGGTGGGAGGGTGCTCAGTGGTACCTGATGACCCCTGTTCCGTGGCATCTGCCCCCCGCCAGATGTCAACGACCTGTTGAAGTTTATTCGGCCACTGCACGAAGGCACCCTGGTGTTCGTGGCATCCTACGACGACCCAGCCACCAAGTAAGTACTTGGGGAGGCCAGCCTCGGCCTTGCCCTTCTGCAGCGACAGCTGACACCTCTTCCTCCCATGCTGCAGGATGAATGAAGAGACCAGAAAGCTCTTCAGCGAGCTGGGTAGCAGGAACGCCAAGGAGCTGGCCTTCCGGGATAGCTGGGTGTTTGTGGGGGCCAAGGGTGTGCAGAACAAGAGCCCCTTTGAGCAGGTATGGTGGGTGCTTGGCATCATCCCCACCAGCACAGGGCAGCCCGTCGCCCCTTCTGCCTACATGCCACGCGGCTCCCCGACTGCTCACGCCCCAGCAGGGGACCATCCCCAGTCCAGCTATGAGGGGTGGGCCAGCACAGCTGGTGCCATGTTTCCCTGGGGTGGGTGGAGGGGCCGAGTGCCCTGAGAGTGCACTGTTGGCCAGCACAGCACAGGTGACTGAAAGCCTGGGCCCTGGTCCACTCCTGTCCCCTGTCCCTGAGGGCCAAGGTCATGACTTTCTGCTCCCCTCCCCGCAGCACGTGAAGAACAGTAAGCACACCAACAAGTACGAAGGCTGGCCCGAGGCACTGGAGATGGAAGGTTGCATCCCGCGGAGAAGCACGGCCAGCTAGCACGGCCAGCGCCAGGACCAGGCCGAGGGAGGCCAGGCCAAGGGAGGCACGCGCGCTGCCAGGTGGACGGAGGCCGAGGCCCACACCCCACGCCTGGGCAGGAGTGCTCTGTGGCCCCAACACATTGGGGCTCTGAGGCAGTGACCAGAATGTGGTCTCAAGGTGGTGGAGGATATGGGGGCTGCAGGGGCTAGCTCTGCCGCACTTTGTCACGGGAGCCCAGGGTACCCGCCTCCTTTTCGTAACACTGTTCCCCCGGTCAGCCCATCTAGCCCTGTCCTCCTCCATTCTTCACACCATCTCCGTCCCCATCCTGAGTCCTGGAGCAGCCCTGGGTGCCCGCCCCTCACTGTGCAACTCTGGGAGCAGCCCCCGGCAGGTTGGGACATCTTCCAGAACCTCTCCCTTCTGGAAGCACCCTCTGCACTGCGGGCTAAACATGTTTCCAGTGTGATTCCTTCCAGTGAGCCAAACCCGGTGGCTGCTTCATGAGCAGGCTGGCCCGGGGTGGTAAAGCAGCTGGAGCCTGATCATGGTCCCATCCGTAGTTTGTCAGGGGGCCCACCTTCTAGATGACCCCTTAATAAAGTGATGGCCCCACAGAAGAAATGCCTTCAGATGCTGTTGTCAGTGCGGAGTCAGGGGTGATGGTGTCCTCTGGGGTGTGGGAGGACAGATTCCAGAGTCTTAACCAACCTGCTCCCACAGCCCTAGCAGACAGCCTTTTGTCTCAAGGGCTCCTGTCACCAACAGGCCCTGCTGTGACTGAGATGTGACTCAAGCAGTGATCAGAGCAGCCCCAGGTAGTGTCACCATGGCTTTGTCTGGGAGACATGATTCCACATTCAGGGGCTACAGGAAACTCAACAACTCCCTCTGACCCAGTGCAGGCCTGTAGGGACAGGGACAGGGATTAACACCAGCCCAGGCCCCCCCGCCACACCCCCATCATCATCCAAGAGCATGTGTCGCCCACAGACTTTAACTGCCTTTGAAGTCAGGGTTTGAGGGGTCGAGTCACTTGGGCTTTTCGCGTGTCTCGCAGGTTACAGTTAATACCTCCCTTCGCTGAGCGAGAGCCAGCAAGTTAGAAGCAATTTTGCTGGAATAAAATCCAGAGGCCCAGAAGCAGTCTGAGTTCAGCGAAAGGAGAGAAGGCAGTTCCTAGATGGGAGGCACTGTGGTGTCCTTGACAGGGCCACATTAGGGGCGATGGACTTAAGAGCCGACCCCAGGAAGAGTGTAGAGCTCAGACAGAGCCTCAGAAGACAAAAGTGCTTCCGGAGCAGGCACATGGGTTGGAGGCACAGGGGTGCCTTGGAAGAGAGACTCACCAGGCAGGAAATGATGGTGATTCCAGGACTGAAAAGATCACACAGCCAACACCTAGTCCTGTCTCTGTATCAGGAACTTTCTACATGTATTCCCTTTTTTTTTTTTTTTTTTGTAAATGTTCTTTCTTAGAACCATTTTAGGTTCACAGCAAAACTGAGTGGAAAGGTCAGAGTTCCTGTGTGCCCCCTGCCAGCCTCCAGCGTCCCATCTGTTGCTGTCAATGAACCAGCATTGGTGCTCACATGAGGCTTCACTCTGCTGTTGGACATTCGATGGGTTTGGACAAAAATGTGTAATGATGGATCCACTGCAGGATCATACATACTTCACTCTTTAGATTTGCTATGGAAAATTGCAAACATCTCCAGAAGACAGACTAGCATACAGTCAGCCCTTCATATCCATGGGGGTTCCATGTCCACAGATTCAACCAACCACAGATTGGAAATATTTGAAAAAAATAAAAATACAAGAATAAAAAAATAGTACAAGTAAAAAACAATACAGTGGCCGGGCGCAGTGCCTCACGCCTGTAATCCCAGCACTTTGGGAGGCCAAGGCGGGCAGATCACAAGATTAGGAGATCGAGACCATCCTGGCTAACATGGTGAAACCCTGTCTCTACTAAAAAATACAAAAAATTAGCCAGGCGTGGTGGCGGGAGCCTGTAGTCCCAGCTACTCAGGAGGCTGAGGCGGGAGAATGGCGTGAACCCGGGAGGCAGAGCTTGCAGTGAGCCGAGATCGCGTCACTGCACTCCAGCCTGGGCGACAGAGCACGACTCTGTCTCAAAAAAAAAAAAAAAATTAGCCAAGCGTGGTGGCAGTAATCCCAGCTATTCAGGAGGCTGAGGCAGGAGAATCACTTGAACCCAGGAGGCAGAGGTTACAGTGAGCCAAGATCATGCCATTGTGCTCCAGCCTGGGCAACAAAAGCAAAACTTCATCTCAAGAAAAAAAAAAAAATACAGTGTAGGCTCTCACAGTGGCTCATGCCCTATAACCCAGCACTTTGGGAGGCCAAGGTGGGCAGGTCATTTGAGCCCAAGCATTCGAGACCAGCCTGGGTAAAATTGTGAGACCCCATCTCTACAAAATAAATAAAGAAAATTAGCCAGACATGGTGACACGCATCTGTAGTCCCAGCTACTTGAGAGGCTGAGACAAGAGGATCACTTGAGCCCAGGAGGTCAAGGATGTCATGAGCCAAGATCACACCACTGCACTTCAGCCTGGGCAACAGAGTGAGATCCTATCAAAAAACAAGAAACAATACAGTGTAATAGCTATTTGCACAGCATTTGTATTGTATTAAGCATGATAAATAATCTAGAGATGGTTTAGATTCTATAGTACTAGGCTTGGTAGCTCATGTCTGTAATCCCAGCACTTACGGAGGTTGAGGCAGGCAGATTGCTGCAGTCCAGGAGGTTGAGGCTGCAGTGAGCCATGACTGTGCCACTGCACTCCAGCCAGGGTGACAGAGCAAGACCTTGTCTCAAAAAAAAAAAAAAAAAAAACAGGCCGCGCACAGTGGCTCACACCTGTAATCCCAGCACTTTGGGAGACTGAGGTGGGCAGATCATCTGAAGTCGGGAGTTTGAGACCAGCCTGGCCAACATGGTAAAACCCTGTCTCTACTAAAAACACAAAAATTAGCCGGGTGTGGTGGCACATGCCTGTGATCCTAGCTATTCAGGAGGCTGAGGCAGGAGAATCGCTTGAACCTCGGATGTGGAGGTTGCAGTGAGCCAAGGTTGCACCATTGCACTCCAGCCTAGGCAACAGGAGTGAAACTGCATCTGAAAAAAAAAAAATCTGAGATTACTATGTGGTCAAATCACTATTCTTACAGGCAAAATTTGATCAAAGTAAACTTATTTTACAAACAAATTTGTATTACTCTGATTATCTTTAGTAAAAATCAGGATGACCTTAGAGAGAAAAAGTTGTTTCTTTTTCTTTTTCTTTCTTTTTTTTTTTTTTTTTTTTTGAGACAGAGTCTCGCTCTGTTGCCCAGGCTAGAGTGCAGTGGCGGGATCTCGGCTCACTGCAAGCTCCACCTCCTGGGTTCACGCCATTCTCTTGCCTCAGCCTCCCGAGTAGCTGGGACTACAGGTACCTGCTGGCACGCCCAGCTAATTTTTTTTTTTTTTTTTTTTTTGTATTTTTAGTAGAGACAGGGTTTCACCATGTTAACCAGGATGGTCTTGATCTCCTGACCTCGTGATCCGCCCATCTTGGCCTCCCAGAAATAGTTGTTTCTAAAGGAAAAACACTAAAATATGACTGTTATTAGATTGCAGCCCTTTGCATTGTTTGTTATCTACATGAAGACAGGACTAGACCCCAAATCCTCCTAATTTCCTCTAATATTTGGCTAAAACTCTCCAACTAAGAAAAAAAAAAAAACCTGTTATGTTGCTAAAGGCCTTGAAGCTGGAGCTAGAAAACTTGGTATAAATATCAAGGGACAAGTCTCATGCCTAATGTATGGGTCACACAGAAAGTTCTCCAAACCACCTGATGCCATAACCAGAGACATTCAAACTGCAAACCAGAACAAGAAGTTGAGATTTTTGGCTGGGCATGGTGGTTCACGCCTGTAATCCCAGCAGTTTGAGAGGCCGAGGCGGGTGGATCACTTGAGGTCAGGAGTTCAAGACCAGTCTGGCCAACATGGTGAAACCCCATCTCTACCAAAAATATTTTTTAAAAATTAGCTGCATGTGGTGGCACGCACCTGTAATCCCAGCTACTCGGGAGGCTGAGGCAGGAGAATTGCTTGAACCCGGGAGGCAGAGGTTGCAGTGAGCCGAGATCATGCCGCTGCACTCCAGCCTGGGCGACAGAGCGAGACTCTGTCTCAAAAAAAAAAAAAAAAAAAAAAGTTGAGAGCTTCACCCATCAAAATGAAAATCTTGTCACTCTTAATTTTTCCTTTCTTATGTCTGCCTTTTCGTTGACGGGATAATGGTGTAATTTAAACTGCACAATCAATAGCTTCTATCAGTAACCTCACAGAACCTGACCTAAGAGAACCTTCAGTATCTATTGGTTAAATCAGGAAATATCTGTTCTATTGCTAATAGCACCTGCTGAACCTGGCTAAATTTCCCTGGAGAACTTGAGGCCCCATATACATTAAATTACAAAACATAGGTTATAACAGGTCACATAGGTTATAATGGGTCTCACCAAATTCCCCATGGTCATTTGATTTATTGACTTGATTGCCTTTAAGCCTAGGTTCATAGCTCAAAACCATTATGAAAACTGGGGGTATCATATTACTATTAATATTAATTTGTATTTTCCTTTTAACAATTTGTACTTATTACTTGTGAAGCTTCTGCAGAAGTACAGCTGCTAACAGAATATGCTGGCCTGGGGCTTCCAGACGATGGCCAAAAGACCACGGAACACAAAAAATTGAACGTAAAGATGGACTTCAGGTAGACTTAGTCTGAGTGCAACTTTCCCCGAATTTCCAGTGTTGCTCAGATGTGCCTAAAGGGGTTTTGACACTGACTCCTAGTTGTCAATCACTCCCTCTTATCTGGAACCAGACCAACAGCCCAGGACAGGTCCATCCCAGTACTGAGGGACAATCCAAACCCACTGCTTTTGAAGAAAGATCACGATCAAAAAGGGGAAATGTGAAAGTTGCCAGAAGCAAAATGGAGTCACTTGTATTAAAAACAAAACAGGTGTGGTGGCTCATGCCTATAATCCCAGCACTTTGGGAGGCTGAGGTGGGTGGATCACTTGAGGTCAGGAGTTTGAGACCATCCTGGCCAACATGGTAAAACCCTGTCTCTAGTAAAAATAGAAAAATTAGCTGGGCGTAGTGATGCAGGCCTGTAGTCCCAGCTACTCAGGAGGTTGAGGTGGGAGAATTGCTGGAACTCGGGAGATGGAGGTTGCAGTGAGCCAAGAGCACACCACTGCACTCCAGCCTGGGTGACAGAGTGAGACTGTGTCTCAAAAAACAAAAGAAAACAAAACAAAACAAAAAATCCCTGCCAGGTGTGGTGGCACATGCCTATAGTCCTAACTACTCAGGAGGCTGCAGCAGGAGAATTGCTTGAGCCCAGGAGTTCTGGGCTATAGTGTGCCATGCCAATCAGGTGTCCACAAAAAGCTCAGCATCGGCCGGGCGCGGTGGCTCAAGCCTGTAATCCCAGCACTTTGGGAGGCCGAGACGGGCGGATCACGAGGTCAGGAGATCGAGACCATCCTGGTTAACATGGTGAAACCCCGTCTCTACTAAAAAAT